TTGCCGAAGTGATTGGAAAGTTAAAAAACTTGCTTTGCAAAATAACTTCAAATGCTTGTGATGCGAAATTGAGACAAAAAATAGCAAATATCACATTGAAGCAGTTTATTAACCACCTGACCCAGAGTACTCTGAATCCGAATTTCTAGATCATTTGTCGGACAGTTGCGAGCAAATTTTACTCACCGAACCTAACGCTAGGTTAATTATCGCTGGTGACATAAACCAACTAAGGATACAAGATCTTTGTAACCAACATAGCCTAGAACAACTGGTCAAAAAGTCTACCAGAGGTCCTACAACATTGGACGTGTTTTTGACGAATTGCCCTCACTTGTGGAAACAACCAACTGTATTCAAAGGTCTAGTTAGGTCCCATCATTTGGCGGTTATGGCCACACCAAGGCTCCAAGCAAGACCCGAACGAAAACATGTCTACTTTAAAGATGTTAGGCACCACCGAAAGATTGTTATGGAGAATAAATTAAAAGTTTTCGACTGGAGTAAAGTCAACAGCGCTAATGATGCTGAGGAAGCAGTGTTGCTCCTAAACCAAGAAATTGTTTTAATGTTCAACGAGAGTTTTCCTGTAATCAAGATTAAAACCTCCTCACGTGACCCACCTTATATGTCCCCATTAGTGAAACAGTTATGTAAAATACGAAACAAACAAATAAGTAGAGGAGCCAACACTGAACTTCAGGAAAGAATAAATAAACTTATTCGAGATAATCAAATTCGTGCTGTGTCGAATGATAATAAAAAGTATAAACAAGGGGCGAAAGGTTGGTGGAATACTGTCAATAAAATCACGGGCAGAAGTATAAAATCCCATAACATTAGTTTCTCCATCGATCCAAATATTATTAACACCTATTTTCAAAGCGTAAATACGGACACTCAGTACACACCACCACAACCCTTAACAATCTCCCAAAAAATTCAAATCCCGAAGGTTGATATACAGTACAAACAGTTGAAACGTTCATGACAAAACAAAAACGAACTTCACCAGGCTCTGATGGACTTCCATACTGGCTGTGGAAAGTCTACGGTCACTATCTTGCACCTGTACTTACTAAAGTATTAAATCTTTCCTTCCATGAACAGCACGTTCCCTCGCTTTGGAAACTCGCAAATATTAGCCTAATACCAAAAGAGTCAACATTATCAGACTGCAGCCAGCTAAGACCCATATCAATGACTAATATCATCATGAGACTTTTTGAGAAAATTGTTTTTAGGGAAGAGATTTTAGAACACTCTAAGTTAATCATTGGCCATGATCAGTTTGCCTATAAAAAAGGAACAAATAAAACGTCAGCCCTTATTAAATGTAAACATCATTGGCTGAAATGGTTGGACGAAGATGCCGAGTTTGTAAGGGTTTTATCTTTTGATTTTAGAAAAGCCTTTGACTCGGTCCCGCATGATATCGTAACTGGAAAACTTAAACAAACAAACCTAAATCCTTATATCATCAATTGGATTATAAGTTTTCTGACGAATCGAAAACAAAGGGTCGTGGTGGACGGAATTATAACAAGATATGTAGATATTAACAAGGGAGTGCCACAGGGAACCGTCATTGGCCCGTTTCTATTTTCTCTCATGGTTGATGACATTAAACCCAAACAAGCTGAACCTAATGTATAGGTTAAATATGCTGATGACATGACAGTTAGTGCACCAGTAAAGTCAAATAGTGATTCTGCAACAATGGAAATGAGGAACATCGAGAACTGGGCAAGGAAAAACCGAATGACTCTAAATCTAACAAAAACATGGGAGATGCTTCTGAGTGGCGGAACGTCTAAGCCGCCACCGGCGCCTATAGAAGGTATTCGAGGAAGATGTGTGCTGCTGGGACCTGCACGTTAATGGCTTGTTGTCGAAGACCGGAAGCCGAATGTATATTTTAAGAGTATGTAGAAGGTATGGATATCGGAAGGAACATCTCAGCTATCTTTTTGACTCAATAATACTATCGTTGTTTTTATACGGTATTGAAATTTGGGGCTCAGCTCTTCAAAAGAAATATTTAGAACGCATTGACAAGTTTTTTAAGCGAGCGTATTGATATGGTTATGTACTGAAAGTGTATAAAATGTCTGAGCTGATTGAAACGAGAGACAGAATTCTATTCAATAGGATTTTAGATAATCCAAAACATATTTTATATGAACTACTTCCTGAAAAAAGACAAAAAATTTAAGAAAACGTGATCATCCGTTCATCCTACCTCAAGTCAGAACTGAAAGATTTAAGCGTTCCTTTGTAAATAGGTGTCTGTTTGACTATTTTTAGTTTTTGTTACATACGTATAAATTATCTTAAATTATTACATTAATATTGTAAATATAGTAAATAGTATATTTTAAAATTGTAACTAAAATCATGTAAAGACACACGTCTGTTGTGTCTAATGATTACCAAAATAAAGATTTTTATTATTATTATTATTATTATTAATATCCCATGATATATCTTTCACAGAATTAAATTTTGAAAATAATAGAAGACTAGCATTTTTGACTATTGTTTGATGTTGCGAAGTTTCAACTTTAGAACTGTACAATTTCGTTGCGAAAGACGCAATATGAAAAACAGGAAGATGATCTGATATTAATATCACTAAAAACTATTCCATTCTTACTGGATTCAATTTGTTTAAGTCATTAGTTAATATATTGTCAATTAATGTGGCAAATATTATTACGACCGTTGCATGTCAATGGGTTGTTCCAACCTCGTACCCAGGGCCTTTGCGCGGTTCAGAGGCTCTGGTACGGGAAGCAAAGGCCCTGGTAAACACTGGTCACGTGTGTCCAAAAATATTGGACATTTCGTAATAATTTAGTTTTCAATCCGGGGGGAGCGGAACCGATTGATTTTGTCAAACATGGCAGCGTGAAGGCGCGACGTTTTCGAGTTTTATTATTTTACGATAAATAAAACTTTCCTAGTGAGATCTAAAATGGGTATATATTAAAACTATGCATTCTACGAGCTTTCTTTCAACAAATGGTGGAATAGCGAACGGTAATACTTATCAAAGATCAACGATCAAACTGAGAGAAAACTGGTCGAGTGATCTGTCTTTTATTATATTAAAATAAACTGTCTATTTTGTATCCATGCAGCTGCTTGTGTGCGACGTTTTATAAAGAATTAAGTAAACATTGTTGATTAATAATGATTATAAGTAATGTTTACGTATTGACCAAAGAATATCACTTGGGATTTTATTGTACTTTCATGGAAGGATACATACTCAGTATTGTGCCTGTATAGTGAAAGGAACATCTATGGAAACGAAATTCTTCATGTGTAAACATGTAGTTATCAAAGCAGAATATTTTAACAGTGACAGGTTGGTTTCCGTATGTATGTAGTTTAAAATACAGTTGTTAATGAAATTATACACAGTATCTTGAAACCTTTGTGTGTGAGTTAATTTCATATTTAAATTTGGGATGTTTATTTCTCATTGTCTGGAAGAAGGGGGTAATGCGGGGGTACCAATCATGAGAAATAATATCCAATGATCTTGAAGTCC